GAAAACGAAGATGAACAGTGAAAACGAAGATGAACAGTGAAAACGAAGATGAACAGTGAAAACGAAGATGAACAGTAAAAACGAAGATGAACAGTGAAAACGAAGATGAACAGTGAGTGATTCTCTTGAATGAAAGCTCAAAAAACCTAATCTGGTGAGCCATAAAAACGAAGTCATTTAATGTTTTCGAAATTTCTTCCCAAACTCGCAAAATCGGAACCAGACTCGCGATTTCAGGCGACTTTATCGAGTCTACCACCGATTCCACCAATCCTGCACCAAAAGCAAGTTTGCTTACGAGTTAACTCGAAAGCACTGTGCGAACTCGTAAACTCGACCGAGTTAACGAGTTAACTTGCAAGTTCGATAACACTGGTAGGCAATACTCATTAGCAACTTGGTGCCCTGAAGCCTGAAAAACTCTTTCCAAAACAGGCTAAGGAAAGTTGGATCTCGATCACTAACTATAGATAAAGGTATCCCATGTAGTTTTACTATGTCCCTCGTGAATACCTCTCCTATAGATTTGGTCGAGTAAGGGTGTTTACCAAGTCTGTCTACCCTGACTAGCACAACATCATACCCGTTGGGTTTCGATAATCTAACATTGAAATCCATGATGATTTCCTACGATACAGCGTAAGGAATGGGTAGAAGGACACACGAAAAGGTGTCATATGATCAGTTGCTCCTGAATCAAGAATCCAAACCTTGAGACACATGACCAACAGTATTGAGACAAATCTTACCTTTCATGGACACAGTACATGATTCAAAAGGCTTACTCATTGATTCAACCATTGCTTTCAAGCGCTCGAGCTCCTCCTTGTAAGTTTTCATATCAAGAGTCATAAATAATAGGATATTGGACAGCAGTGGCGGTGGGTACTGTTGCAACAAAAACGGAGCTCCCAAGATCGGGAGCTTTGATACCAACTTGAAAAAGAGAGTGACAACTTCCACTGTTTGTTCATTAGTTGACAATGCTAGTAAATCTTACACATACTTTTGTTCTCATATCTAAGCTATATTAGATTTTCAAAAATTTTTAAGGGCTTGGAAGTGTTACTGATACAAAATCATTGAATTATCAGTGCACCAAAATTATATGCATATATGATACATAGACGTGATCAAATAGAATTATTACTGTTATATAGAATAGAAGACCCTTGTATACTTTTCTATACATCTCACTCAAAATGTCAACCACATCTATACAAAAAAGGAAATGTTCAATCCATGTGTACCTTGCTTTTTCAGAAAGACTGTTCAACATTGCTAATAAGAAAAAAGATAAAGAAAAATTCATACAGACTACTGAACTTATTAATTTTAATTATTTCCGAAAAAAAAGTAAGACAAACTCACTTGGAGGTTGCTGCTGCATACAGAAAGAGCACCCCCTGCAACCAGAAGTGATTGCACTGCACCACTAAGCTGCTCCTCCTGTTTGTTAGCATCCTCCTTAGCCAGCCTATAACGTATAGACATATTTTCCATAACCACTTTCTTTGATTCCAATTTCTGACGCATCTCCTCAAGTTCATTCAATTGACCTAATGATTCAACATTGACCTGTTCACAAAATTATTGCTCATCAATAGGAACACTCATTAATTAGGGACATTTTATAAAAAAATAATCATACACCTATACACTGGGAACTTCAACAATTGTCAACTGAAACCAAGAGTTAGTGGGAAAAAGCATCCCCAAATGTGAACAAAAACTAAATCACTTATCAAACTAACAAGATGGAACTGGTGCGCTAAAAATAAAACCTAAACATCAAAGTCATCAACACAATATACTAGTAGAGCAACCAACCCCAAAAAAAACATAGCATGATAACAGATTAGGATGACTACTATTACAAAGTTTATGGATATAAATTAAATAATACATATATGAGTGTGTTGTGCATGTTCTCAATGAATATACCAATCATTAAAAGCCATAATTTTAAGCCAAACACATAAGTTAGTAGCAAGAGTAAGGTAAAATAAAAGGGAAAAAAATCACCTCTTTTATTTTCCTGTATTTATATTGATAGAATTATAATACAATGAGTATCAGGAAGAGAAAAGATCAAAAGCAAGAATTAGAGTCCTAGGTACAAAGAGGATACAGCTCGTAGGTAGCAGTTTTCCAATACAACTACCTACTACCTATATTTAACACCTATTCAAACAACCAACACTAGGTATTCACGGAGAAATGAAGCCAGAAAAGGTTGATTTAGTTACAAAGGATTAAAACAACATGTTTGTAAGGCTTAGCTTCAACCTCACCCAAAGAATAAAACAATGAGGTGTACTCGAAAGCCCTTCCACCCCTTTACAATTTTTGTAACCAAAAACAGAGAAATAAGAGATCAACTGATCCAAACATAATAAATACGCTTGCTGTTACAAAGGCGTTCCTTCATCAACTTAAGCTCAAAATGACCGATGAGAGATTATAAGGCCAGTTGATCACCAACATAAAATCCACAATCCATAACCGGAATGTCATAATAAAATAGCAGTCATAAACCGAAGGATCCACTCAAACGGTAAACCCCATTCTGCAATTGGACCACAAGTGAAAAACAAAAAGTCACACTGTTCGCTTTTAATTCCTTTTTACAGTAAATGCAAGTTCATTTAACACCACGTTTTCGTCTCTCTCCCTCATTTCGTCGGTAATTTCCAAATCAAACTCAAAATAATTCCAAATCAAACTCAAAACACGACGCCAGTCCCCCCTCGAGCTCAGATTCGGCAGTACAACAAACACGCTTACCCTCCAATCACTAAATTCCAACACCATTTCCTTACAATTTTCATCTATTACAGTAAAGATGTCAACAGAAAAAACACGAGTCCAAAATTTCAAGAATCTTATGATAACAGCATGATAAACCATTATATCCGGTTTCAGAAATTAGCAATGCTAAACCTATACTAAAACATAAACCTATACTAATACCTAAACCTAAAAGTCTAAAACCCTACCTGGATGAGAGACTCGAGCTTGTGGTGAAGGTTGCGCTTCTTCTCCTTGGATTCGTCCAATGTGGAAGAGAGACTCACCAACCTCGCAAGATCGTGCTGGAAGTCCTCCCACTGAATGACCTTCACATGTTCGGGATCAGTTGGGATGGTCCGCAATGACAGAATCTGGTTTGACTCCATGACTAATCGAACCCACCATCGTCCTCAAGTTCGTTTATCACCAAATGAAGTCCGTCATCATACCTCTTGAATTCTTCTACTCCTGGTTTTTTCTGGAAAATTGCCTGGTTTTATTGGGAGAGAGAAAGGAAATTTGCCTTGTCTTTGTTGGATTTTGTTTTCTCTGGGATTAAGCCGCGAAATAGACACGTGGAAAACGTGCTTTGCCTTTATTTTATAAATTTTCCTTTTTCCTTCGACCGCGTATTTAGATTTTTTACGGTAATAAAAGAGAGGAAATGAAAATAGTAAAAGAATTATGATTAAATATATATGGTTTAATAGTTTATTTTGTCCCTAGTTTTGGTGAGTTGTGTCAATTAGGTTCCTCCTTTTAAAAAAATGTCAATTGCATCCTCACTTGGTAAATTTTGCCTCAATCAAGTCCCTTCTGTTAATACTCCCAACGGCGTTAACTTTTTATTCTCTCTCTTCTGTTTCTCTGCAACGCAGCATACCTTTCTGTCACTGTTATCTTTTCGTCCTTTTATGCAGTTATACTTCCAATTCCAATCCAAAAATACTTCCAATTTCAATGCAAAGCAAAATGCACAATCTCTATTTTTCCACCTCCATTATATCCCATTCGTTGATTATCCAATCCCAAAGACTCTTCTATTCTCTCCCACTCATTCTCCACCTCCATTTTCAGCAATCAATTCATCCATCAATATCTTTTATTCTCAACATCGTTGCCATGAATTAACACAATACACACAAATCAAAGAGAAAAAAATGGGAACAAGAAATTGATTGGGAGAAAGATGGTTGAATGGTAGTGCTAGGGTCTGCAAGAGCCACGACGTCAACGACATCGCCGGTTATAGAGGGGTGGTGGCAAGAGGAAGCTTGCCTTGACGGTGTTCGTACATAGAAGAAATGGATGGAGAAGAAAACCCACATGCAGATGAAAAGAACACAAGGAATGAACGATTTCTGGACAGTGGAACGCAGATTGGGCCAAGCCTAAACCTAAGGGTTTCTTTCTTCTATCACAATCTCAGAAAAAATCAAACTTTTTCTTGTCTTTTTTTCTTTGGCTTTCT